TATGTTCACTTTTCATTGTATCTGACTTTTGCCTCGTCTCTTCCTACTGACCAATCATCTGTAGCCAGACAGGCAAATTGATGCGGACCTTGTGTGAGGAAATATTTCCCTGATATATGAGTAATGATCTTTGAGTTAGGGCCTATGGTCTGTCCTATGAATAAAGTTGAATGAATTCAGGACTACGTCAGGAGGTCAAGAGATAAGATTTGAAACCAGTCCTGCTGGAAACCATAGGAGCCACAGTGAAGAAAGCAGTGCAGCTAGGAGCCTGTTAACCTGAGAGGCAAGGTAGCCTTTTCCTCATATGGAAACACTGTTTCTATTCCTAGACCGGTTTGCATTCTTGGGTTTATGTAGGAACAGCCTCATGCAAATATAATTATAATTCTGCATTTAAATTACAGACCAAAATGAGACAGAAAGGGCCAAAATATTGACTTTTGGAAATTAGAGAGTGCTTCTTTGGATGTGTCTTTTGTCCTGACTCTTCATCTTACTGCTTTCATCTAAGTACTCATTTATCGCACGCTAAGAAACCCTGTACCATCATCATAAGATTATCCTGGCATTTTCTTTTCTCAGATGCCATTAAACTGCAACTTTGGGGGTACTTTTTCCCAATTAGATAAAAAAGAATCTCTTTATCCAACTAGTACAAATTTCTTTAAAATAATATGAGGCTTGGCAGGATGGCACATGTCTATAATCTCAGCACTTGGGAGGCAGAGGCAGGTGGACCTCTGTGAGTTCAAAGCCAGCCTGGTCTACAGGGTGAGTTCCAAGCCAACCAATGCAACAGTGAGACCCTGTCTCCAAACAGTAGTAATAGTAACTGTCATATAAGCCGAGCATGGCGATTCAGACCTGTAATCTCAGCACTCAAAGGAGTATCATCCTGAGATTTAGGGAAACCTGGGCTTGAGGGCAGCCTGGATTACAAGGCAAGATCCTGTCTCAAAAAACTGAACACACACACACACACACACACACACACACAAGTATGTATGGTTTCAGCACTTTTTCTTGTGCCGTTGTTAAAAACACTAATGATATTAGTTACCAACTCTCCCCTTGCCCTCATTGCCTTATCATAGTTACTCCTGACCTCCTTTTAAAGGTTTTAAGAGGCGATTATTTCTTTTTAAATTAAAAAGATTTAAATATTCAAAAAATAGTTCTTCCTTTTAAAAAGTTATTATTGTATATGTTTCAACTATATAACATGATGTTACAGGCAACATACGAAGACTAAAAAAGGAACTGCAGTGAAGCATATCAACATACCTGTCATCTCACATAGCTATTCACTTTTTTGGCACTAAGCACTCAGATCAACTCATTTAGCATGAATTTCAGACACAGTAAGTAACTGAGCGCAGTGGTTTCACAACTCGGTGAGCATGAAACCAAAACAGACATGACCAAGAAATGGTAGCAAGGGAAGTCTGCTCCCTGCAGCATGCAAGGGAACAGCAGAGTCGCTTTGTTCCTCAAGCAGCATTGTCTCTCAGGGTGTGCATGCTCCAGAACGCTCATCAGGGAGTACATTTCTGAGCATGTTCAGTTTAAGAAAGAAAGACAGCAGGCACATTTTTGAGTATGCTTCGCTCAGGGTTACCAGGCACACATTTCAAAGGTCAAAATGGTAGATGGGACACTTTGGGGTATGCTCAACTTGTATCATAAAGACGGCAAGAAGGAAAGGATTTTGGTATGTTTACTTCCTACACAAGATTTTAGCTGCAGAAAGGAAAGGGTACATTTTGAAAATACATTAATACAAGAATTTGTCCCGAAAAGGGACCTACCTCATAACTCAGCAGTCAATAAATATATTTTTATTAATATAGTTCTCATGTTGTACATAGATCTCTTTTCAGTTTCTTAAAAGTGAAACCGTAGCCAGGCAATGGGGCACACGCCTTTAATCCCAACCCTTGGGAGGAAGAGGCAGATGGATCTCTGAGCTCAAGTTTGAGGCCAGCCCGGTCTACAGAGTGAGTTCCAGGACAGTCAACCAAAGCTGTTACACAGAGAACCCTGTCTTGGAAAATCAAACAAACAAACAAAATCTTAGCTGGATAGTGGTGGTGCAAGCCTTTAATCCCAGCACTCGGGAGGCAGAGGCAGGCAGATCTACAAGGCTGGTGACTTCGAGGCCAGCCTGGTCTACAAGAACTAGTTCCAGGATAGGGTCCAAAGCTACAGAGAAAGCCAGTCTCAAAAAAAAGTGAAATCTTGCCATTATCAATGATCCGTCCCTCCATTCCCTGTTAAACCAAGCAAGTTATGTATATGGTTCGTTCCAGACCCAATCTGTAGTTACCTCTCACCTTGAGTTTGGCAACATTCTAACTCCTGTCTCTTATATATCACCCCAAAATGTTCCCCAATCCATGCCAGAGTAGTTTCCTTCTCTGTTATTTCGGGCCTGTAATCTCCATTTTCCCAGAATAATGTCACTGGAGAAATTCTTGAGATGTTCCTTGCTTCCATTTGAATGCTATATTTTCACCTTGAGTTCTTTTTATGCTTCTGCCCACCCACCTCCTCCTGTTCAGTCTTTACATTCGCACCTTCCAGTTTTATATGCTCCACGTCACTTTGCCAGCGCAATTAAAGCATTGTGTCAGAATGCTCTGTCCTGACCTCTCGACTCCAGGACTCAGTCTCTGATCACACCTCAACACCTTCAGCTCCCCTTGAAAATGGTTCTTTCCCCAATGAATTTCCCAATGAATTTAGTGACCACATTTTCCATTTCCCTTGGTCAGTCATTTTCCTTTTTACATATTTTCCAAAGTCTCTAAGTAAAGACTTGCCAGATCATTTTGGATCTTGCCAGATACTTTTGATTTTTGCCAGATTGTTTTGGTTATTGATCTCCATGTCCCCATCCTCAGATCGTACCTGTAAGCAATAACAGGACCGGACTTTTGGACATTGATCATGCAGTAATAGGGAAAGTCAGGCAAATATCCTCACAAAGGGCAACCTGACACTTCCCTTTACCGTTCCATCTTTATCTCCTACACCTTTTCAATCTGGCCAGGAATAGTCCTATTCTATGGTACATATACTCCCTCTAATTCACCTCATCCAGAAAGAATTCTCTCCACAACTGCGGGCCTCCCTTAAGGATGCTGCTGGACCCCGACTCCAGCACTGCTCTGGAAGAATAGAATCCATTTCCTGCAAGGATGAATGCTTCAGGGTCAGGGTAGGGGAAGTTCTAACACTTTCCCTGCTTCCTCTCAGATCCAGGACCTCTGACTAAATGTCTTCCTCAGCTCCTCAGCTATAGCTGGGTCTACGGGGTCAACTCATTCAACACCAGGTACTTACTCTCCTTGATGAGCAGACTCTTTTACACATCCTTGTAGCTTGTCTTCTGGATTCCACCTCAGATCCTCATTTCACCTGGCAAGATTTCTCCTGCAATTTTCCATCCCCCCTGCTTCCTAAGGCCTTTCCAAGCTACTCCCTGACCCTAGTGAGCATTCTAATCCTCCACTTCTCCCATTCCTCCCACACTGGCCTCTCTTCCTTCCTTCTCTAGCTTGACTCCTATGGCTGATATCCAGAAGTCCTCTTCACTAACTCCCCCAGTTTCCTCAGTTCAGTAAGTCTTTGTCTGGAATTCCTATACCACTGCATGGGGAGTTCCCAACTTCCTCTGAACACCCTTTGTAACCTTGCTTAGGCTCCTGGAAGTCCCATCCAAATCACTCCAAAGTCCCAGATCCATGGACCTACTTTTAGTTTGGCCTATTCCATTTTCTTCCAAGTTGTCATTATGGATGAATGAAATCAAATATTACATTTCTGTTATAATGCAGTTCTTTAAAAATGCTATGGGGCGAGCCAGGCATGGCCTTTAATCCCACCACTCGGAGGGATAGGCAGGCAGATCTCTGTGAGTTTGAGGCCAACCTGATCTACAAAGAGAGCTCTAGGACAGCTAGAGATGTTTGCTACACAGAGAAACCCTATCTTGAAAAACCAGTAAAATTGCTATTGGGCCAGAGAGAGAGAGCATGTTAGAACATGAACTTGAAGTTGGGTTGGTAGGGACATGAAGAGGATCTAGGAGAAGTTGGGAGAGGGGAAAATATGATCAGAATATATTATATGGAAAAAATTCAAATAAAATATAATAAGTAAGCATTAAAAATAAAAATACTCTTGGATAATTCCATTATTTCATCTATAAAATAATGTATTGAATGGAAGCCCAAGGTAATATGGAAGCTGAAAACTGAATTGTGGTTAATCTTGCTGGTCACGAGGATGACGTAGATGGATAATTAATGCATTAAACAAAAAAAGAGAGATTTATAAGACCAGTGTTAAAAGATAGCACTGGAATCCTAGGATCCGTTTTCTAGATGTCACTGTCCTAGAAGCAAGCATTCAGTAGCAACTGTTGACTCAGAGAGAAGAACGAATTTGGTCAAAGGGATACGGATCAACTCCCCACCAACCGCACAATTTTACATCCTCTGTGCAAAAGAAGATGCACCAGCAGAGCTACTGAACTCAGAGCTGAAGAGTCAAGGAAGAAAAGTTATCAATTTGAAGTTTACCAAAGGAATCTCTTTTCACACATAATTAGTGTGTGATCAAAGTGAAGACTCGCTATACAACATGTTAATTTCCAAGCAAAATAAAACAGAGTGCATTCCTCTTCATCCTGTACCACTTCAACCTTTACGACATAATAAGGACAGCCGGAAACACAATCTAACTGATATACAGATAGCCACAATGTTGAGCAAATAATCTAATTACATTTTTTTTAGCAAATCTCTGAGATGTGTGAAAAAAAATCAAAAGACATGTCTCTATGAATCTTTGAGTTTCTAAGATGAAAAAAACCTGTTATATTACATTTATATTTATGGTATAGGCATGCATACAACAAAACTAATATTGTCATATGCCCTAGGACTGCCCTCACTCAACAAAAGCACAAATAGTTAGAATAGCAATCTTACCTTATAGAAGATCAACAAAAGATCATCCAAATTCCCATGCAAATCACCTGGAATACAAATGAAAAAAACATCATTATTCAGTAGGCACCAAGATGCAATGTTTACTTTGGTATGAAATTTTAAATCTCAAATACCCCAAGTGTGCTCATGGGATTGGGTTTTCACCTTGTGTTGATGATACTAATTGAATATACACTTTGCTTCCACGAACTCTTTCTTCCCCTCCTATGATGCGAATGTGTGTGGAGGGGGCAGCATCTGGAACCTGTTTTCTCTAGTCTTTCGTAGGACTTCATTCCTTCTGAGCTAAACTCTATACTAAGAATTTTATGTTTATTTTCTTATTCAATCCTCAATAAGTATTCTATGAGATGAGTAGCAATGTCATTCTTATATTCCAAATGAGGCTCAGAGTAGTTAAGAAATGTGTAGAATCGCCCAGTCACCAAAATCAGAGCTAGAATTCAAACCCAGCATATTCTTACCTCGAAATTAAAACTCAGAGTGATTTACTCTGTACTGTTTATATTTTCATGCCCAGAAGAGCAGCAAAAATACCTATCACAGGAAGCATTAACTCTCCAAGAACCTACCATACAACCCATTGAGTTAAAAACATGACCTCTTCAAAGACCTACCATAGAACCTAGGAAATTGCAGGCACTCAATATGTGGGGTGCATTTAATTACTAAATCCATAGCTATTCACAAAATCTAAACCATTGCTGGGCTTTGCTTTATTTTACTTATAACTTTAAACGTTTAAAAGTATGACTAGATAGTTGAAATTCTTTTGACAAGACAGTTATAGGGAAAAACAAATCCAACTAAGGGAAACTATTGAATATATGACTCATTAATTAAAAAATGAGTGACTATATGAATATTCAACATTTCTATTTGGATAAATAGTTTTAAGTAAAATATCTATCTTTCATAATCTATGCTCAAAATTTGTATTCAACTTAATTACCATATAATTTAATTTAGGAACTTTTTTCCCAGTTTAAAATTTCACAAGCAAGATAAATCAAGTCTATATGACAGAAGCTTGAATTACACTAGAAAGAATAAAGCTTAAGTCCTACATCACTAGGACTTATTTATAAAATTGTCATAATATTAACAATAAAATAAAGGGCATATTGATGTTAGTGGATACTTAAATGTCAATACCTTTAGATAGTCTCACTCCAAAAGCTAAATAATTAAAAACTTAATATATTTTGCTAATTATTGTATTTTCCTAATTTGCTTCAGAGTCATTTGCCTTTTAAAAATATGAGTATTTTGGCAGTGGAGATGATTCAGTGAGTATGGAGCTTGCTATTCAAGCGTGACAACCTGAGTTCGGGTCCCAATCAACCAAGTGAGAAACAGCCTGCAGTGGCACCCCTCTGCAACCTCAGTACTGGGGGCAGCAGAGACATGCAGAGTCCTGGAGCTCACCGGGCCAGTCAGCCTTGCTAATTAGTGAGCCCCAGGTTCAGAGAAAGACCCTGTCTCAAAAAGTAAAGTGGACGGCAATGGAGAAAGACACCTATCATCAATCTCTGGTCTCCACATCCATGCACACACACATTCCCATGTGAGAGCACATGCACATACATACACACACGTACACACACAGAGAGACACTACCACCACCGCTGCCACTACCACCACCATAAACACCACCAACACTACCATCAGCACACGTACAGAAATCTAAATATGAAGTACTACAATAGCTGGCATGCTGAAATACGAAGTTGTTTCAGCATATTAGGTAGGAGTTGGTTTGAGTCACAGCAGACAGGAAAAAAGAAAACAATAAAAATATTTTTAGTTTCTAGTTGGACATAAGATCAACATTCAATGGGAAGGCAGACATAAAGATATTTTCAGTGCAAACAATGACATATGTACAGAATTGATTATGATTTATAGCATGAATTGGAAACTAAACAACAAAATGTCAAGAAGCTAAGACAGAAGGATCTCTTGATGGTTCAAGACCATCCTTTATTACTCAGTGGGTTCCAGGCAAGCATCAGCAGCAAATGAGACACAATCTAAAAATTATTTTTCTTAAAAATGAGGAGGGGGACAGAAAACACTATTTTATGTTAAGGAAATCTACTGGTTTTGGCTTTTCTCTTTACCAAAGGTGCTATGTATGTTTGTGGGGGGATTGGAAATAAGTGCCCCAAATGTAGGGTCCCTTAAGTTAATGGACTTGTCCAGTCTACCTGGTCTCTGGTAATTTTCTGATGACGGTAAGTGAAAAATAGCCAGACATGTGCAAAGGTGGCCTTCTCCTTAGTCTGGAATGTAGAAGATCTCATTTTTAATCCTAACCCTATCACTGACTAGCTGAGCAGGCTAGGGTGCAGGGTACTATATAGAAGTACATTGGTGACAATATGTATTTCCCTCTGGGTCTCTGTTTCACCCTTAAGAACAAGATATGGGACTGGGAATATAGTTAGTAATAGAGTGCTTGCCTAGCATGTGCAAGGTCCTGGGTTTAATCTCTAACACAGGAAAAAAGTTGAAAACTTTAACTTTTAGTAAAAGGACCAGAACATCTCTGGAAGAGATTATTGGTTCTCATACTGTGGAATTCTAGGACCTTCAGGCCCTTTAACTCATTTCTTCTTCTAGGGTGCAGTGGCACACATCTGTAACCTCATTGCAGCTAGATCTGCAAAGGCAACTGGGGGGCTAATCGAAAATGCATGGGAGCAGATCCTAACATCTGTTTTTGACTGTTAAAGTACATTCGACTAGAAAATCTAGCCCCTGGCTTCAGAGGCTTCACAGGTTGGCACGGTTTACTGAGCCTTATGGCCCACAGTTCTTTATTTCCATCCAAAGCAAAGCTTGCTATGGCTTTGAATAAAAGGTCTCTGTGCTGAGGTATATTATTGTCTAGAGAGATCTGGTGGCCTGATTAGGTTGAATTAAACCACTGGAGACTCTTCAAAAACCGGAGTCAAGCCATGTCATGAGGTATATACTGCTACATCAAGTTCCTGTCACCACTATGAGCGGCTGGGAATGGAAAGGGTTTAATTAGGTTGCCAAATCCACTTCTACCTGCCACCAGAAGAGAACGTGGGCTAAAAACTGATTTGGAAAATAACAATCACTGTTTTGTAACCTAAAGCCTTAATTAGAAGTTAGGGAATTGCTGTTCCTTCCATGCTCCCCACTCTCAGACAGTGTAAGCATGCTGAGCACCAACTGTGATGAATTTCAATGTGTACTGTTTCTCGAAGCAATATCCTGCCAGGCTGGCCTATAAGATAACAAAATCTCAAATCTTGTTATTTAGAAGAACAAGAAACAGATTTTGGGGACATTCCCACTCCTTTAAAAACTGCAAAGACCAGTTGGAAAAAAAAAAATCTAAAACCACAGCCAAGAGCAGAAAAGAATTTAATCTCCACCCTGCGTTGGGTGTTTCTCTTCCCAGTAGAAGTGGCATGCATACAGAGACCCACCTGGAAAAAACAGCACGGGACAGAGATAATGAGAGCCAGTCAGAGGGCAAAGCACACTTATTCTACCCATCAGTGGCTTTCCATATTAAAATGCTGTCTGCCTTTAGAAAAAGCTACAAGAGTTCTTTAATTTCCCACATAATTAATTCCTGCCAGCTGGTATGCAAAACAAAGACAAGATGGGGAACAGTATTATCATGATAGATAATTCTATATTAACATTTTCCCCTTAACACAATCCAATTTCCATAGTTTTCAAGTTAGGCAAATGACGCAGGACCACGAGGCTCCGAAATATTAATGTGCCAACTCTACTCTGAAACTTACCACAGATTGTTACCTCTTTGGAGGGAAAGGTTGTTATGTGACTGAAATTCGGCATTTGCTTCAGGACTCTCCTAGCTTCATATAGCACCTCTAGGACGTAATGAGCATGAAGTGTCTGCGAAGGGGAAGCAGAGGGGATGGAGATAATGAAGAAGGGCGAAAGACATGACGGCAGAACACTGGAAAAACAAAGCGTATGAGCACACTTCAGGATAATCTTTATTCTCAAATAGATTATTCTAACAGAGTGTCTAGTATATAAAACGCCCTCAGGAGGTATTTGTAATTGAATAAATGTATGATTCCTCATATTATTTATAGTCTCATGTTCTTTTTTTTTTTGACATTATCCCTTTGCTTAGAATATTTTGGATTATTTTTGGTTCTTAGATCCCAAGAGGAAAGATGGGGAAAATGGGGGTGAGGTTCACGTGCCTGAAGAAAGGGTTCAGACAAAAGAGTAACAGAATCATTTCAAAGGGAGGAAAAAAGGAAACAAGGAAGGAAAAGCATAGAGTCCGTGAGTGAAGTGTAGCTCTTTATTTGTTGAGACACCCTACCACTTGTGTAGTAGGTGTTACTGAGCATAGAGACCTCACTAGGTAGCCATACAAGCCTCCTAAGGATGGCTCCAAAATTTGGTGTACAGAATGTTCCGGACAAGAAGCACATTGCAATAAAAGTCTAACTATAGAAAATATTCCAGTCTCAAAATACATGGATTACCTCCTATTTGCTACTGCCTTACCATACTCCTCCAGTTACAGCATCCATAGGGTCATTGCTTCCTACATATTTACTCTGTGTTCTCCCTGAAGGTTTTATTTTTTTTTAATTTATTTATTTATTAAAAATTTCCACCTCCTCCCTGCCTCCCTTTTCCCTTCCCCTCCCCACCTCCCTCTCCCTCTCTAGTCCTAAGAGCATTCAGGGTTCCCTGCCCCGTGGAAAGTCCTCCCCCCTCCATCCAGTTCTATAAAGGTGAGCATCCAAACCAACCAGGCTCCCACAAAATCAGTCCATGCAATAGAATAAAAACCCAGTGCCATTGTCCTTGGCTTCTCAGTCAGCCTTCATTGCCAGCCACATTCAGAGTGTCCAGTTTGATCGCATGTTCCATTACTCCCAGTCCAGCTGGCCTTGGTGAGCTCCCACTAGATCAGTCCCACCATCTCAGTGGGTGGACACACCCCTCATAGTCCTGACTTCCTTGCTCATGTTCTCCCTCACTTGGACCTTGGGAGCTAAGTCCAGGGCTCCAATGTGGGTCTCTGTCTCTATCTCCACCCATCACCAGATGAAGGTTCTATGGTGATATGCAAGATATTCATCAGTGTGGCTATGGGACAAGGCCAGTTCAGGTACCCTCTCCCCTGCTGCCCAAGGAACAATCTGGGGGCCTCTTCTTGGACCTGGGAACCCCTCTAGAATCAAGTCTCTTGCAAATCCTAAAATGGCTCCCTTAATTAAGATATTTACTTCTCTGCTCCCATATCCACCCTTCCTCCATCCCACTCATCCCATTCCCCCAAGCTTTCCCGAATCCTCTCATTTTCCCTTCTCTCTACCCATCTCCCCTTACATCCACACCCCCCCCCCCGTGCACCCAAGTTTTGCCTGGCAATCTTGTCTACTTCCAATATCCAGGAGGATAACTATATGATTTTCTTTGGGTTCACCTTCTTATTTAGCTTTTCTAGAATCACGAATTATAGGCTCAATGTCCTTTAATTATGGCTAGACTCTACTTATGAGTGAGTACATACTATATTCCTCTTTTTGGGTCTGGGTTACCTCACTCAGTAAAGCGTTTTCTATTTCCATCCATTTGCATGCAAAATTCAAGATGTCATTGTTTTTTACCGCTGAGTAAAACTCCAATGTGTATATGTTCCACACCTCCCTGAAGTTTTTAAAAATCTAATGTGTCTTTCTCCTTGGTTTTAAATTATGAATTTTCCAAACACATACGCCACAATGACAAGATAACAAATACGTGATATCACACAAACTTAACTGATATCAACACAGCTGTAAGAGTCAGGTTGGCTTAGAATTAGGATGTTCAATGTGGTAGTCATTGGCAATATTAGATAATAGAGTACTTAAAATGAAGGCTCATGAGAATTGAGATGTGCTATAAGAACAAAATTTAGGCAGGGTGGTGGTGGCGCACATACTAGGGGGCAGAGACAGGACTACACAGAGATATCCTGTCTCAAACAACAACAAAGAACAAAATTCAAACTAGATTTCAAAGACTTGTATGAAAATAAACACAAGTCTCAATGATTTTTAATATGATTATATACTGAAGTGTACTGAATTAAATATACTGTTTAAATTGATTTTGTCTTTTTTTCTCTTTTTTAATGTGAATACTAGGAAATTCTAAATATATGGTCCATATGTTTCTATTCGACCATCATTTCCTGCCCATGTATGTCTTTTCCCTACAATAGTATTCTAAAGACATTCAATCCACAGCCACATCTTCTTACTTTCTACTTTTCTATTTATTTATTTAGGTTTGTAACACAGGGTCTGGACTCACTTTGTAGCACAGGTTGGCTCAACCATCATGACAACCCTCTTGCCTCAGTTTCCCAAGTCTTTGGACGAACATTTTCTTTGTAGTTTTACATTTGGCCATATATTTTATTGGGAGGCACATACAGGTCACAGCACATGTGGGAAGGTCAGGGGACAACTTATGAGAGCTGCTTCTCTCTTTCCACCATATTCTTCAGCTTGGCAGCATGTGCCTTTGCCCATTGATCAATCTCAATGGCCTCTGGATAAATATTTTTAAAGAATGGGCAAAAATGTTGCTTTTTACTGTCTTGTTTCTATCTGTACACTTAATCTACAGATTTCTAATGCAGGTTCAACGTGCAATTGTAGCTTTTCGGGCCCATTGTACCACTCTCAGAGTAACTGCATCTAAAGGCATATTCTTTTCTTTTTTATTTTATTTACTTATATTTTATGTATGTATATATACATAGATCTATATCTATCTATCTATCTATCTATCTATCTATCTATCTATATATATATATTCTGCACGTACACCTATATGCCAGAAGAGGGCATCAGATCCTATTAGAGATGGTTATGAATCACCATGTGGTTGCTGGGAGTTGAACCTCTGGAAGAGCAGCCAGTGCTCTTAACCACTGAGCCATCTCTCCAGTCCTCATTTTGCTTTCTAATGTTAACAAATTTCACTGAAAATATCTTATAAACAGAAAATTCCTAATATTAATATAACTTTCTCTTTTCTTGTTTTAGTTTTTCCAGACAGGGTTTCTCTGTGTAGCCCTGGCTGTCCTGGAATTTGCTTTGTAGACCAGGCTGGCCTCAAACTCACTGAGATTTGCCTGCCTCTGCCTACCAAGTGCTGGGAATAAAGGCCCACGCCATCACAGCCTGGCCTAATATAGTTTTCTTGAGCATCCTTAAGATTGAATAAAATAGCTTGGTCAATATTAGTACTTGCTTAGAAAGCTATATATCGGTAGGATTACAATTATTATGTTTAAAAATGTTAAATATTCAAAGTAGTTTATTCAAATGTTGCTTTTTGCATTTATAAATATATCAGATAAAAGAATCACTTAAATATTAGCATTATCATAAAAGGATTCAAGGAAGAAACTTCTACTTTGAAAGGATATTTTCTTCTTTTTGTGTGTATGTGTGTGTGGTAATGTGTATATGTATTTGTATGTGTGAGAGAGAGAAAAAAACAGAGAAACAGAGAGACAGAGAGGGAGATGAGACAAAGAGAGAGACTGGTTGTCCTAGAACTAGCTATGTAGACTAAGCTAGTCTTGAACTTGGAGCAATCCTTCTGTCTCTGCCTTCATACCAAGTTCTGGAATGCAGACATATGTTATCATGTCTGACTTATTTCTGTTTTTAAGTTGTTTGTTGAAACAACTTCTCACTATATAGCCTTGACTGACCTTGAAGTCACTACATAGACCAAGTTAGCCTTGACTTTACAGTGACCCTATTGCCTCCACCTCCCAAGAACTGGGATGAAAAGCATGTGTCACCGTAAATAGCTTGAGTGGTTTTTAAATGAGAAGCAATACATTGTTTTACTGAATCAAAAAATAGCATTAAAAAGGAGGTGGAATACACAGGGCAGTAGAGAAGCACACCTTTAATCCCAGCACTTGGGAGCCAGAGACAGGCAGACCTTTGTAAATTCAAGTCCAGCCTGGTCTACAGAGTGAGTTCTAGGATGAGTTCCAAAAGATACAGAGAAACAATGTCTCAAAAAACCCAAAAGTGGGGGGAGCATGGAATAATGAAAGCTCACCCAAGTGATACACCTCCTCCAATAAGCCACACCTTCTAATCTCTTCAGTTTCATCTGTTTGGGGGGGGGAGCAAATATTCAGATATATGGGTTTACGGAGGCCATTCTTATTCAGACCAACACAGCCACCAAAGCATATACTTTGAAATAGTTAAAATGACCAATTTTATGGGATTTCTATCTCAATTTTAAATATATATATATATATATATATTTCTTGATTTATTTTTACAAATGAGAACACATTATATACAATGCTTAACATTGATCCTTCTTTTAATGCAATTTTTCCATATTTATAGAGCCCAAATTATCAAACATCCATATAATGGCTGCATATTTTATCTACTTGAACATACTATCCGTGTTTGTTTTAACGCTGACTCTAATGACGTGATTATGTAAATACTCTACAAGCCACTGTTTCTTATTTGCCTCAGTTTTATTTCTTGTATTTTGTGTCCTCATAGGCCTGGTTAGATTTATACTGAGTTCTGGACATTATATATGAAAAACTATAAAAATATTTTTGGGCCTATTTTCTCCCAGAGAATTTAAATTTGCTGTTGGCAGGTGGCCAGAAGAGCTAGCTATCTAGTGTGATCTCAAATCATTTTTAGGAATTAGATGATCCAAAGGCCTGCTGCACTTCCAGCAAAACCAATCTACCACTTCCAGTTCACTCTTATTTCTGGGCTATGCTTTCTAGCATCCTAATCTGAGAATGAGGGTTTGGGATGATGTCAGAGAAGAGGGTAGTTAGTATAGGGAAATCCAAGACC